AAGCAATAAAGAATTTTAATAATTACAAACTTTTCCACACATACTAACCATTTTAGTTTATAGTGTTGTTCATAGAGTTTTGAATGTTTTGTTCACTAGAGGAAGTTACTTCCAGTTTCAATACTCGTGATGAGCATACCACTGATAGCCCATTATTTAGCTTTGTAGTTAACAATAATCAAACAAACAGTCGAGGAAATCTTTTACATGTCGTAAATATTGTGTGAAGTCTAGAAATTTCATGAAAGTTTAAGCCTCTGTATGATTTAGAAGCCTCTACTAGTACGTAATAAATATTACAATATAAAAATGTCAGGGTGAGTGAGTTTATTTATTGAGTTCGTTGTCAGTTAGTGAGTTAGACGGTGTGAGTGATAGTTAGTTTGTGCGTCAGTGATCGAGTTAGTAAGTTAGTCAGTAATGCTAACCACTTCTAATCCCACTAGGCCGTGAAACAAATACAAATGAAATTTACTGTGGCTGTGGATATATAATGTCTGTTGTAAAACATTACTAAATGCTAATACAAAGAAAACATATTAAAGTTTATCATATTCCTCCTAACCTAAGAAATATCATCGATTAAATATATCAAAAACAACTAGAATATTTACAAGTATTAAAGTATAGTGTGGATTCTAGAAAAAAAATTCAACTAAATTTTGTAGTATGCAAGCATACTACACGTTTCTCCGCCTTTTAATTTAAATTGATGAACATTTCTTATTTATATGAATTTTTCAAAATTCCTAACGCATTTTCATTTTTTAAGAACGCCGTTGGGCATAAAAGTAGTTCTTTGGCTGGACCAATGAAGGTTTCTTTTTCCTTAGACTCAAATCAGTTCAGGAATGAACCTGAAAAACACAATCAAATTCAGACTCGAAAATTCATCTCTGAACTCATCTTTAAACAGAATGCTTTAGCATTTCAAAAATGTTGAATTCATTGTCAACATAAAACAGAAATATGTCAATATATTTGGCAATCATAATAAAAGATTTCCCCTTGGTTGAACTTAATTAATGAATATATTAGAAATTGCTGGAAATTAATATATTTTATTTATCTTACTCGTAATTTCCTTTACTATATTGACAGTTAAAAATAGAGAAAATAATGCAACATAATATTTTGTTACGTCTCTGGGCGTTAGTTAATTTCCCGTATAATTTCTTTCCGGTGAAGCTTTAGCGACACAAGTTCTTTCTTAAATAAAAATGGTTTATTCTTTCTGAATACAACTTTGCAATAAACTTAATTTCCACAGTCACGCTCACGTGCTCGACTCAATCGTCAGTCTCTCTCTCTCTCTCTCTGTCTGCTGTTCAATTACCTTGTTACCGGGGGAAGAAGAAGAAGAAGAAACTGGCAGTTATTTAGATTTAAATATAATTGTTTCCTTCGGAAACAATTATCAATCTAGGGTGTTCGAAGATTAAACAATCCTCCTTCACCCTGCTCGTGGTAAAAGGTTGTATGACATTTAGAGGTCAGCGGAGTACTGAGCCGAGTGGGTTAATGGTAATTAATTAAACAAGAGGAGAGAATAAAAATAAAAAATTTTCAAAAAAAATTTAAAAATCTAGAATTTTTTTTTTTTTGAAAAGAGTGAAGCAAAATATCCTATCTTAGGGCTTTAGTAATACTAATACCTTAGTATTGTTCGTCCCGAACAATAGCCACTTACATTAAACCAATAAACAATTAACAATAACTTAATTAAATGTACAGAATATGCAAACACAAAATTAAAATTCAACAGTCTTCTTCCATACTGGTCTCCGTCGCGTTGGCTTCTGCTTCATGTGCGGTTCATCTGCTTTATCAGGAAACGTCCTATCATTGGTAACAGTCACATCAGTGGTAGTAACTTCATCAAGGGCTTCACTGTTTCCCTTCTCAAAACCGAGTAGCGTTTCTTCTTCGACAGTGGCTTTTCAGGTGACACGTCTTCAGCAGCGTCATTTCTTCCGTTGTTCACTTCATCCTGGACCGTGATAATGCCAAATCCTGTTGGAAGCACCACTTTTGGCTTACCTCACCGACTACATTTTATCCGGAAAGTCACGTCTGAGAAACAATCCACTATATCACATGGGCCTTCGCATTAAGAAGACAACTTGGGAGACTTCCCTTTGGTCTTCCTGGGATTATACAACCACACCTTGTCTCCTGGTACAAAGCTGACTTCAGTAGATCTCTTATCACAAGATAACTTCATGGAATCAGCAGACGTTTTCAAGTTTGAACGCACTTGATGGTGAATATTATCCATCCTTTCCGATAACACTTTCACAAACTCTGACACATTTTCAGGCAACTCTTCATAAGGTGGGCGCCCTGTTAGCAGATCCACTGGCAACCGAAATTCCCGACCAAACATCAACTTTGCTGGAGTGTATCCAGTGGCTTCATGCTCTGCTGTCCTATAGGCCATCAACAGTGGAAGGAGTAAGACATCCCAGTCATCTTGGCGGCTATTACAAAACTTTGCCAATTCCTGTCCCAGTGTCCAGTTGTACTTTTCTACCCTCCCACCAGACTGTCGGTGAAGTGGCGTTGTCCTGGTCTTTCGTATGCCAAACAACTTGCAGCATTCATGGAACACAGGTGATTCAAAGTCACGGCCTTGATCTCAATGCAGTTTGTATGGCATACCAAACACGAAGAAGAAATCAGTAATAGCCGTAGCTACAGTTGTAGCTTCATGATTTCGTATTGCATATGCCTCAGGCCACTTGGTGAAATAATCCATCACCACACAAATGTACTTGTTTCCAGCACGAGTTTTGGGCAAAGGACCAGCAATGTCAACGGCTACTCTTTCCATTGGTGCGCCAACTTGATATAACTTCATTGGAGCACGTCCCTTATGCTTGGGTCCCCGTTTAGCACAACATGTACTGCAGGTCCTGCACTATTCTTCCACATCTTGCCTCATACTTATCCAGTAAAATCTTTGTCGTAGGTGACTCAATGTTTTCTTAACTCCGAGATGTCCTTTTGTTAAAGTATCATGGGATTGATGCAGCACAACTTCCCGTAACTTTCTCGATGTCACTACTGATTCCCCACCTGTACATCATATGGAACCAGAGAAGTGAAGAGCTGCTTCGCCTGTGTGCTCATGGAACACTGGCAGAAGAATTGTACAGGACCCATTCCAGTAAATGGCACAGCAGATTCCAACTGAATCTTGAAACCATATCTTTGCCAAGCAGCTAAGTGAGCAAGGATATTGGTACCATCCAATAAAGCGTCAGATAATAGAGAATCAGCAATTATCCAAACTCAGATTAGCCACCAGTTTGCGGTGGGGCACAACATTCAGTTTGCATTGGTGAGTCTAATAGTCTATTCAGCCTATTGATGTATGGGTGGGACCTGATACGTACCTATGAGTGTTTAAAAGTGAGAAGTTGAATTCCTAGTGGACACCAGTGCAGCAATAACCCTAATTGATATCACAATCTTCCAAGCCTTACAAATTTATTGCTGTTTGCCAGAACAAAATTGATGCTCACTGGCCATAGTGGTTCTGGCAAACAGCAATAAACTTGATGCCAAAGAAAAGGTTGATCTCTGGCTCAGTCTAGAAGGAGTTACCCGTAGAATGAAGCTGGCTATCACATACACCGTGCCATTGTGTGAGTTTCACGAATGGTAGAAAGAAGTGAAACTATATTATTTAAAATTTTATGTCAAAGATTAAGTTTAAAATGACTGTGGAAATTTTGTGTATTACAAAGTTGTATCGAGAAAGAATAAACTAGTTTAAATTAAGAAAGGACTTGTATCGCTGAAGTTCCTCGGAAAGAATAAACTAGTTTAAATTAAGAAAGGACTTGTATCGCTGAAGTTCCTCGGAAAGAATTAATACCGGAAATTAACAATCAAGCAGATACGCAACAATATTGTTACGACAGCGGAAGTCACGTGACCCTGGTAACACGTGATGAGTGTCTAGAAGATTCGTGAAGACGCTAGCGTTTGCTAGACATGCGCTCGTATAGTATATAAGATCGGCGAGAAGTGGCGGCATATATATAGATATAGATAATTGCAGACAGTTTGTTTGTTTGTTATGAATTTTTCGCAAAGCTACACGAGGGATATCTGCGCTAGCTGTCCCTAATTTAGCAGTGTAAGACTAGAGGGAAGGCAGCTAGTCATCACCACCCACCGCCAACTCTTGGGCTACTCTTTTACCAACGAATAGTGGGATTGACCGTCACATTATAACGCCCCACGGCTGAAAGGGCGAGCATGTTTGGTGCGATGGGGATTCAAACCCGCGACCCGCAGATTGCGAGTCGAGCGCCCTAGCCACCTGGCCATGCCGGGCAAAAGAAGAGAGATTACAGCAGTTATTGGAGGAAAAAGAAAGAAACAAGAAGATAGATTACAGCAGTTGTTCGAGGAAAAAGAAAAGAAACAAGAAGAGAGATTACAGCAGTGGCAAGAACACCTGCAACAGTGGCAGCTCGAACAGCAAAATAAACAAGAGAGATTACAGCAGTGGCAAGAACACCTGCAACAGTGGCAGCTCGAACAGCAAAATAAACAAGAGAGATTACAGCAGTTGTTGGAGGAAAAAGAAGAGAAACAAGAAGAACGAGAAAAGAAACAAGAAGAGAGACTACAGCAGTGGTTGGAGGAGAAAGAAAATAAACAAGAAAAGAGACTACAGCAGTGGTTGGAGGAGAAAGAAAATAAACACGCAAAGAGACTACATTAGTGGTTGGAGGAGAAAGAAAATGAACAAGAAGAGAAACTACAGCATTGGATGGAGGAGATGAAGTCGTTAATGAAGTTACTACCACTGATGTGACTGCTACTGATAATGGGACATTTCCTGATGGAGCAGATGAACCCCACGTGAAGCAGAAGCCAATGAGACAGAGACCAGTGCGGAAGAAGATACTTCTTGTAAAATCAAGAGACTTTGTTGTATTTTAATTTCGTGTTTGTAAATTATATACATTTAATCAAGTTATTGTTAATCATCTATTGGTTTAATGTAAGTGGCTATTGTTCGGGACGAACAATACTAAGGAAGGGGCAGTGTTACGACAGCGGATGTCACGTGACGCTGGTAACACGTGATAAAATTCTAGAAGGATCATGACTTTTCCTGGCAACTGTAGTCTGTTGCAGGCGCCCTCTTTTTTAGTATATAAGCTCAGCAAATAAAGCGGAGAGGGAATTGCATAGATAGATAGAGATATATAGAGAGATAATTGAGTCAAGCAAACTAAAGTGTGTGAATCACTGTGATTTATAGCGTGTGTTCATAAAAGTAGTGAAGTTTAAAGTGACGGCGGAAATTCTGTGTATTACAAAGTTGTATCAAGAAAGAATAAACTAGTTTTAATTGAGAAAGGACTTGTATTGCTGAAGTTCTCGGAAAGAATTTCTACGAGAAATTAACAAACAAGCAAATACGCAACAGTATATATGCACATAGTATATCGTAACCAATACTTTGAATTGTTGGTTTTTCGCTTAGGAATTCGATAGGGTGGTTTTTCGGCGCCTGAATTATTTGGAATCTTTGTCAATCCCTACTATTAAGTACTGCCTTACTTAATATACGTTCAAACTATTGTGTATCAGTCTTATAAAGTTTACACCTATATATTGGTACTTTGTTTGAATGATTAGATAATTAACAATGTTGCATAGATTATCAACAGGAAAACTTATCTGTAATAAAAAGCGTTAAATACACATTAACGTATAACTGTAACAATATAATTTTATAATTACGTAAAACTACCTATTTATAATGTCTAACTATTAAGGAATATTATTTTCTACTTATTTTTATTATGTCATAATATAATGAAATTTCATCATACATATTTGCAGTTTTCTTTATCATAAATTATATCACTGTCAAAGCAAATGCTTATCTGCGATATGGTGTTCTTCTTCACGTAACTGTTTATTATTGCTCAGTTGCGTGATACTTGGCAATATTAGGGGGAGCCACAGTTGCTTTACCGGTAATCGTGTCTTGAGCTTCTTGTCTATTGTGAAAAGTACAGGTTCGACGACTTGGTGGAGGATAAAAGAAGCTAGGCCTATTTTCCCTAAACCATCATTATAAGAACAAAATTTAGAGGTAAGAATATAAATGAATGTTAGTATAAATGAAAAAAAAAGAATAAAACATGATACATGCAACATTTTCTAGCAAATATACTGTTTCATCACAAATTTATTACGTAGGTGTACAAACAAAGGTTTTGGTTAGGCCTAACTGAGTCGTTTGTGACGCTAAGCCTTATCGATACTGTGAATTATTGGCGACCTTGGGCGGGAATACTGTAGCAACTACTTCCATTTCAGTATGGACAATTACTGGATGGCTTATTTTCATATATTTTATTAAGCTTTAACGGTGTTTGCAATGTTATGTAGTATGAAAGAGATATAAAGTTAAACAATTAAAAGAAATTAGGCTTAAGACTATTTCGTCAATTTTTTTTTTTAAAAGCAACTAATTTAAGTTTTAATAATATATGTTTTAAACTAAAGGATAGATAAATAACATATTTACACAAAATAAGTATTTATTAAGTTGAAAAATATCTATGAACTTAAAAATTATATGCTTCTTAGACTTCTTTTTTCCCATGTTGTGTCGCACTTTTTCCTACACAGAGAAATACCCCACCTTGGCTTACCCCAATATCTGTACTGTGTGTGGCTAAATAATGATCAACACATGTAAAGTAAAATATCTTATTGTAAAGTTGTGTTTTTAATTATATTTATAAAATTCTTATTGCATTTTAAAATGCATGTTTTATAATGAAAACCAATGTGCTGTGGACTCTCGTATTTAAACAATTAAATGTTAGTTTATTATTAGTATTTTGTATCAGTTCTTTTTGTCTTGACAACATATTATATAATTTAGTAGAGGCAAATTTCAATCTTCACATACTTACAAATAGTTCTAAACAATTACTGCTTATCATACTACAGAATGATTCACTTTTTAAAAAAAGTTAATGTCAAAGACTTCACTTGTACCTTACACCAGTATATAGTAAGCTTACTGTTGATCAGAGGTTAATAATATTTATAAAACTATTCCTTATATTAAATAAGCTTCACCCTTTACTTACTAAATGCACAAAATACTATTATATTGAAAGAAGCTTCCCAATGACACCACATCTCAAGAATGTTGGACTTCTATTTCTTGAGTATACACATATTGAAATATTTCAAATGTTCTTTCAGTTAATATAATAATGTATTATTAAACTGTTTTCACATAAGCATGAGGATTTGTGATTACAAGGCAATTGAAATTTTGTTTATTTAAAAATTTATTTGTATTTTTCATGTAGAAAAAATCAATATTTAAATTTACCCAGAACATCAATGTAGCCTTGAATTTTAGAATAACATACCAGCTATGTTTAATTCTTTTAAACCACCCTCGGTCCCAAGGACTGCCCTCATAACCATTTTGTACTTATTGTTTTCATGCTATAACTTTTAAATTATTAAGTGAATGTAAAAAAAATTTGGCAGTTTATCAGTAAACATTAGATGCTTTTATTCGCAAAATATCTCATTTTTTTATTAAGTCTTAAGGTTTGTAAAGCAATGTTTCTCTCATGCTTTTTTTTTATTATTTTCACATATTTCCCATCTATTGTGCAAAGTAATTTTCATTTTAAGATTAAAAATACTTTTATGCATCAGAATATTTCGAAATTTAGCGTGCGAAATCTTTATAATGTCCAAATAGTTATCAAACATTTTATTAAGAAAAACTTTATATTTTATTTGTTATTTTGTTAATTAATCTCTGTACGGGTTCGATAAATTTGACCGATTTTGCAACCACCATAAAAAATTATGAAATAAACATAAATTGTGCCTCTTTC